TAAGATGTAGCTACTTTGGCCATCTCTCCTCTTCACGTGTTCCGAGTCTGATCTGCTTCTTGAGTCACAAGAAACTTTTTTTTTTTTCTTCTCCTGCTGGTTCTACAAAGCAAATAGATATACGAGAGAGCAACGGAGTTTGTTTAAGATGCCTCCATTCTCCAACCTCAGCAGCATGAGTTAGGATTGTAAAACTATCATGTTAAAAAGAAAAAGAAATCTGGTTCAGCCAGGGTTAGCTTTCAACTCATTAGCAACATGTCTATGTGTGTCAGGCTCTTGGCATGTTTTCCAACAGGCTCCCTAGATCCTAAGGGGGCTCTTCCAAGTGGAAAAACAGGACACATCGGCTCTGAAACAGCACATCCAAAATGTCATCCATGAGATTTTAGGCTTTTTTATTTTTATTTACTAACACGCACACAAACTTTTTCAAGTATGGGCTGTGTCATAACCACGTCATGTTAGTAGTCTTTCAGTTTATTTAGTGGAAAAAAAAAAAAAAAACCCTGCAAATCCATAGGTTTGCAAGGAAGTTAATCTTCAGTTACACCAACCAAGAGTCAATCAGTTCAGTCTTCTTATCATCTTTCAAAGTCAACATTAGAAACAATAGAAATAAGCAAGAAATTCTTATTCATGAGAGAAAATGTATATATTTTTAGTGTAGTTATTTTAGACAGAGTAGTATCAGCTGTTACAACCCCTACTTTCCTCTGCAACGAAAGTGAGGGCAAATTAAAGGCTTCAGTTATCTCTATTCTAAAGAGGAAAGGCTGGAATGGAAACTGAGTTAAACAGAACCAGATGACGGTTATTCCAGCTCCACCAGGCTCTCCGTAAGAACCCAGCCTGCCGCAGCCTTTGGTTCCCTCCTCCGATGCTTGCAGACATCCCGGGATAACCAAAGCACAAAGCAGGACACAACACAACATGTCCAACACAAAGCTCTCCAGCGGAGCAGCTCGTCTGAGCCTGGGTCTGCAGCACCCACGTTCCGTAGGCAGCACCTCCAAGACGCGATTAACTGCCCAGACTAAGGAGCCAGAGCTAGTTCAAGCCCATAGAGGCGCTAGGCTTCCTCTGGAGACTGCAGGGATAAAGCTATGCTTAGGCTTAGTCGACCTGCAGACATCTCCCTTTCCAGTGACCTCACGGGGGCCCCGGGCAATGGACAATTCCATGGAAAAAGCCACTTGCTCCCCAGGAAGGCGGCGCTTCGGTGCCCTTATCACTGGAGCTGATAAAGGTGTGAAGCAGGAGGAAGGAGGCTCCCACAGTAGCCAACACAGGAGAAAGGTCTCTGGGAGGGGTGGCCGCAGAAAGACAAAACAATTTTACTGCATGTTTTCCCTCAGGTTACTCTGACCTGCCCGGCTGTGCCCGAGCAGGAGCGGGAGTGGTGGCAGCTCCGCGCAGAGCTGCTGTGACGGCCACGGCGCCGTGGCCAGGCCGGGGTTAACCAAGGCCACGGGCAAGAGCCGCTTCGCTCGCCACAGAGCCGCTCGCTCCCTGCCCGAAACGTGCGCAACACAACGTGGGGATCCACAGAACGGGGCAGCCCGGGGAAAAGCAAATACAACAACATTGCACACCGACCCAGAACAGCCCGAATGTAAACTCATTTCAAGATGTAGTTTTTAGGTAAAAGGGATATGGGTGGGGAAATAAAACATTTGTCTGTTGGTCTTAAAGAAGAAGAGTCGGTCTTCTCCTGGAGCCAGGAATGGAGTTCCTGGATGGTGACAAGTAGCAGTCAGGCCTGAAGTCAATTTCTTAGAGAAATCATTATATAAATTGCTCTTTCCTGCAGGAAGGAGACAGGTGAAAAATCAGTCAAGCCAGAAAATAATGTGAGGTAAATAATCTGTCATTTCAGTGCTGGGAAACCAAAAGCACAGCCGCAGCAAAGGCGTTGGCCCAGTCAGGGCAGGGTATGAAGTCCACCCATAAAGGAACATCTCACGTGAGGATTCGTGAAAAAGAAAAGTCCTGAAAAGCTAGATCTATTCGGATGCGGAATGATCTTCCACAAGGCCACCATGAAACTCCTTGTGCCTAGAGACACGAGCACTAGGACAGAGAGAGCTAACCACCTTAATCTTCATTATTGCTGGGGCAATGAGCAGCGCCCGATCCCAATCCTATGTGCAAGGTGATGTACAGAAAGATCGCGCTGCCTCCGAGAGCCTGCAAGCTAAACGTGAGACTAGAAGAACACCCACGCTTGTTGTAGACAGGAGAAACACGAGGAAAGAAAGCGGCCGCCACGAGGTCAATTCGTGTAGGGGAGTGTTGGAGAGAGCTGTGAAAGGCTCTCAGGTTTGGGCCGCTTTTGTGTGGTTGTTTTGTAAATGCCCATTATTAGGGTTCCTTGCAAGCACGGGAGAAAGCACAGAGGTGTTTGTGAGGCAGCAAGGAGCGGAACTGGTCTTTGCAAGGTGATTGCAAGAAGGAGCTGACACCCCTGCAGTGAACTAAAACCTCAGCCACGATGGGCGAGGGAATGAGGGATCTCAAAGACGAAGGCATCGAACGCCGGAGAAAAAGGAGGGCTGGTAGACGGAAAGAAGTGCCACAGACAAAGTGACAAGCCAGGCACAGTCCTGCATTGTAGGAACAAGGACTGGGTTATTCAAGAGTTTTCTTTCCCCTTCTTGTTTCCCGGGGGGCGGGGGTGGGGTGTTTCAAAGGATAATAATACAATCAGTCCACTGTGTGAAGAGATTTATGGCCTGAGTTTACCACGTGTTAAAATATTGATTCTGTTTCTAACATATGCTTTAAATATTGACATTATTGACTATATAAAAGGCTGGCTTCTGCATACAAAAGCTGGGGCTTCAAAGGAGGATCCAGGGATGCTGGATAAATACAAAGTGACGTAAGTGAAGCACAAGTCTCTGCTTTTTTCCACTCAATTAAATAAAGATAGCAAGAGAGACACTAAGCAGCGTGTGGTGCTGAGAAGCTGGAATAATTAAACAATAACATGACAGACGGTGCATTTACGGGCAATTACAGCATGCCTCTGCTGGCACTCCCCGGCACGAGGCCAAGGGCTCGAGCGAGTCAAGCCACACAAGCGGAGCAGCAGCCGCCTGGAAGCGCCGGCCTAGGGCGGCGGCTTGGGAGCCCAGGAGGGGCTGAACGCGTCACACGGACACAGGCCGCCGGGCCGCAGCGTTTACCGCACATCGCGGGCCGAGAACAGGAGGAGCAGCCGGTCAGAAAGCTGTTTCTGTGCCCCTCGGACAATGCCGTTCCAGGCACTTAAGTAGAGCAGTGAAATACAAATCTTTGCGCTGTGTAAGGACGTCTCCTTCCACCTTTTATTCTTGCCTTGATGCGTGCGGCTTGAAAGTACCGCTTTGTACGTACCAGCAGATTTCAGAATATTCATCATGCTGAGCTCAAAGAAATCCACTCGTCTATCAACTCCCTCTCACAAAACAAGGACTGTTTTTAATTCCAAGCTGTCTTGAGGCTGTGAAGACACCTGCGAGGTGTCCTCGCAGGAGCGCCTCAGGAAGCCACCCCTGCTCCCTCACCCAGAACAACCTGCTTCACCTCCTGAATCCTGGGGGACGAGTCAGATGCCTGAGGGGACAAATGCTTGGAAAAAAAAGCCAGTTTCCACATGTATTTTTGAAAGCGCAATCTGTGCTGTTCAACACAGGTCACCAAGTCACGCTGCGACACTGCATTTCTGGCCTCCCCTGCAAGCACAGAGGTGAGAAGACTTCAGAAGACTTCCACATACTTAAAAAAGAAAGCAGGAGAAAGATAGCTGCTTGGAAAGCAGACACAGATCGGAGGTTATTAAAAGATTCTTAGAACTGTCAACAAACTGTTTATGTAAAGCAGAAAATCACCCTCAAGATGGGCAAGTCGCATGAAACCGGTTTTATTTTTAAACATCTCATGTCTGGAGTTATGTGTTTATACGGTACTCTCAATAAGGTTTTTGTTTCTAAAGTAATGACCCGATTCCAGACTTTCTTGTATGAAGAAAAAAAAAAAAAAAAAGAAAACATGAACTTGAAAGACTCAAAAAGCAGAATAAAAAGCACTTAGTGTTAAAATAAAAAAGCCTCATATACCTATGGGCTTGGAAATATTGCTTCACTTACATCCTTTTTTCTTATACTTGGTAGAAGATGTTTCTCAAGACTCAAAATGAATGTTGTTTTGTGTCTGCAGGGCTTTCAGCAGGCGGCTGCCGCGTTACGAAACGCGCCGCCTTCCAGCAGGGCCCCGCTCCTCGCCGCCTGCTGTACTGCGAATATCAGGGACGAGGAAAACAACCTTATCGTTTATGAAGTTATTGCTGGCGCTTGGCTCTCCGCAGCCTACAAGCCTGCCTTGCTTGCACCACCAATAAAATAAGGATGGGACCTGAAGTTTTCCTCCTCCTCTTCACACTCCAGCTCCACGGCTGTTTCTGGCAACCAGAAAGGCTCATAGGAGAAATGAGCCTGTTAGAGAACACAGCCCACAGGCAGAAAATTGCAGAAAATGGTGTTTAACTACTTTTATTTTGCCAAGGAATAAAGATGAGGTCCTTCATGTGTAATTGGAAAACTAGCCTTCTCTTGTGGTTCCTCTCCCAACACACGGAAGGAGCGGGGTTCCCTGTGCCACAATCTACACTCTCATCAACTACAGCCAACCCTACTCCAGAAAGGAGCCGCAGCTCAGCTCAAAGTTAAAGTTGGTTCCGTCTTGGCGACTCTAACTAACTAACTAACTAACTAACTAAGGCCTCCACGGTGCTGGTTTGCGGCCGACACAAACGGCCACAAGCAATGACTACAGTTCCCGGCGTGCACCTGGGCAAGCGCAGACACCCCCCCCGCGCCCTAGCTGGGACTACAACTCCCAGGATGCACGCGGGGGTGCGAAGCCCCCTCGCGTCCGGGGCGCCCGCGCGCGAGGCCCGCTGGGAGGTGTAGTTTTAGTCCAGCTCTTGCCGGGGCGGCGCTGCTGCGGCAGTGCGCGTGCGCGCCGCCGCCATGCCGGAGGGGAAGGCCGCGTTCCGGGAGGTGCTGCCCAAGCAAGGTAGGGGCGGCGGGCGCGGGGCCGGGCCGGGCCGGGCGCGGCGCTCACGGGCGGCGCTTGTCCCCGCTGCAGGGCAGCTCTCGGCCGAGGACGCGCCCGCCATGGTGCTGTGCAAGCCCAAGCTGCTGCCGCTCAAGTCGGTGTCGCTGGAGAAGCTGGAGCAGCTGCAGCGCGCGGCGCTGGAGGCCGCGCGGCGGGAGGAGGCCGCGGGCGGGCGGCCCTGAGCGAGCGCGGAGCCCGAGCGCGCCCCTCGGCCCCTTAGTACCGGCCACGTTCGGCCCCCGCCGCGCTCAGCAGACCCCCATGCGCTGCTCGCTGCTGCCAGGCACAGGGTTGAGCCACCCCCGCCTTCTGAAATAGAGGTTCAATAAAGAGGAGGCAGAACTGAGCGTGTCACAAAAAAAATTACTTTTAATATGTTCGACACCAGAACTTTTCACTTTTCCAGTTACATAAAAAAGACAAGTCTGGTAAGTGGTAGCTAGAAAATTTAAACCTACCGGTGTTCTCCCCTGGAGCAGATGAATTCAGCTTATGACCCAATCTCCTTCTCTTGGGCTCTTTAAAAGAAACAGACAACTATTTTTTCCTCCCAAAGCACAGTATTTCTTCAGCAGCAATGTAAATGGGGTCACAGCAGCGTAACTTGACCCTTCCGTAAAGCTTTGTATAAACCAGTGATTTTATAATGAAAACACTGTCCTTGAAAGAAAAAGCGGCAGTTAGACATCGATGCAAACATGGAATGATTAGGTCACAAACATATGGCACTTATAAAAAAAAGATAGCTTATTTGAAGGCACCACCCACCACAGCAGAGTGGCCGGTTGTTCCACTACATGCCCAAAGAAAGGTTCTTCCTGAAAGTTACAAAACTATTTAAAAAATGATTTGTACCCAAAACATGTGCTTTTAAAAAAATAGGAACTGTGCTAAGCAACTCTCTAGAATTTTGGTGTAGTAGGTATATGTGTGTGTCTGTGGCTATATACACACATACACGCACCCTAGAAAAGTGTGTATGTGTACACATATATACAGACACACACATATGTGTGTGTATATTTATATTTTTTTTCCTTTAAATGTTTAAGGCTTCAGGAGTTGGTTTTCACATTCAGTAACTTTCTAGTTTAAGACGACCTCCATCTCCTTCGCTCACAAAACGCTTCCTGCCCCTGTAAGGAAACAGAAAACACCTTTTTAAGAAGTTGGCAGTAAGCATTTTCTTACCTACTACTGAAAATCTTCACACGGTTCTTGGGAGTTAAGTACAAGATGTACAAGTTCAGCAAGATTAGCTATTAAATAGTCTTCCTCACTTGATAAATTACCCAAATCTGTCAGTATTTAGGAACACAGAGGCATGTTCGTAAGCAGCTTTTCAAAACCTGCAGTCTCAAATATTTTCTGCTTTGCTGATCTTTTAATAGCTAATGTTATCATTAACATACACAAAAAAATGCTGAAGACCTAGGAGTGGCATTTTGTAAGCAAAGCAGAACCATGCTAGTTTAAAAGGCATCTCAATATAGTTACTGGTGCTGCAGTATAATCACGCTTTTGTTGTGGAGATGACGACTTTCTATCCTCCCACACCCCAGGCTTGAAAAACATTTAATATCAGAAAGACGCAAGTCCAAAATCCACAAGTAGAGGCTGCCTTCGATAAAGCTGAGAACATTTCAAACCTGAGCTGAATGCCAGCTGGAGGATGGTAATGCTTAAGATGTCTAGCAACACAACCAAACTTTTTAAAAAAATTGTTTAAAATAGTATTCCTGACACAGGGAACTGAGGGCAAAAATATTGTTAACATCAAGTTTAACAAAACAGTCTTTATTTCCCACAGAGGTAGAATTTATGGATTTGTAGTGACCAGTAAGGAGAAACAGAATTCCCAATACTTCTGCAATAGCCATCATTACACCGTGTAAATGGCCTAGTCCCCATTGATGTAATCAGCCTAATCTGATTTCAGAATGCTATTAATGCACTTCAATGTTTACTTAAAGTTTTGTAAAAGCAAGTTACAAATGGTTGTCTGTTTTTCCACTAACACTACATGGGTCATGTGGATGCTCCAATCTTGCACCTCGGGACTGCACTGATCTCTGTCACCAAATCAACCAGAGTGAAGCAGCAGCTCTTCCTCCTCTGGAGAGCAGAAGCACACGCTGCCTGAGACTCTCCAGGGTTTGTTTACTTTCCTCAACTGTTTATCCCAGTCCTCAGAAAAGGGTTTCACATCAAAGCACCTTTGTAACAAACTCTTTTCCTGTCCCCTATTCCTCCATCCTCCTTAGCTCCCTTAGATCTACAATATCCAGGTCACAGAGTCCCCCTACAGAGATCAAAAGCTGCACCTTCGCCTGTGGGTAAGGAAACAAGTACCTTGAAGGACAGAGGTCTCTCAGTGGCTTGGGGATTATTCCAGCCTGGAAGCATTCCTCTACAAACCGCTCCAGCACAGAATAGGAGTGTGGCACATCCAGGTTAATATCTGGGATTTCACAGTAAACTCGTTCATAGCCCTGCAAAGATAACAATTCAAACAATTCATATTCTGGATTTTGTTACAATTTTTCTGTAGGATAAGTTTTCATGTAATTTTGTGTATAAACAATTTCAACAAAACTAAGCCAGAGGAGCTGTAAATTTACAGAAAAACAGGTATAATACCAGGATCATGGGATTACACACACAAAAACACTAGCAGAACTTGTAAGACTCCAGCAAGGTTATAAAACCAGGCAGTACAGAATCAGGCAGGTATAGCCTCGTGGCTACTGAATGGAAGAAAACTTACTATGCAGCAAGGGAAGTATTTGTGCCAACCAGACATGACTTCATCACTTTTTTTTAATGAAGCTATATTGTAACATTTTAAATGCTTAGTTTTTAATCACTTAATTGCATAACATCAGTTGAAATTTTTCAACGAGAACATCATCATCTAGTATCCCACAGCTCTACTATGAGCTACTGTCCAGAATTAATCTTTATTTCCTCCAGTACCCAGTAAGTATTGTTACAAACTGCAAATATCAGTGACTGCTTTTGACATGAAACACAGGAGTACAGGGAAGGGGAGAGTGGGAGGAACAGAAACAACAGCCTGCCCAGTTTGTGCCTTAAGAAAAAACTACACAAATTTTGGGAGACCAAACCGGGTATTCTCCAAATGTCACTTACCCTCTTCATTTGGTCCACGGTAATGACTGAAGATCTCCAGAGAGATTTCAACAAATCCAGTATCATTTTAAAAGTCTTTTCTCCAGTTGATTCCAAAACCATCACCACTGCCTGAAACAAATAATGCAAGCCCTTTAACTAAAAAGATAATGGTTCAAGCATATGAAGTGCTAAAAGGAACAAGAGATGCAGTACCGCATATTTTCTGGGGGAGGCAGGTCCATTCGTAGTGAGTCAAAATTCTAGTATACTAATTTTTTTTTTTTTTGAGGAGGAGAAAAAAAAAAGACTGATGGAAAGATACTGGAATAAGGATATGAAGAACGAGAAACTAGAAAACAGAGTAAATAGCACTGCCTGACTTAAGGTACCTGTTGCAGTAAGTTTCCAACTGAAAGGAAACAAACACCAGAGTATGTTTTTTGCTGCTATTTCTTACCAGGAGAAAACAGTTTACTTGTTGCACAAAGGGCACTCAAATGGGTACACAGACTATTAACTTCACTTTAGTTATTCAAACAACATCAGAACTGGCAATCTGAGCTTCAGATCCAGGCTACATTACATCCACACCCACAAAGCAAAACACGATCTCCTTTTATTACTGACAATCATTAAAGGGACTCTGATTTCTCCTTACTTCATACACAAGTTCGTGGTGGAAATGGGGCACTTCCAGCTCCTGAAGACAACGTTCAGCTTCCAGCACGTCTCCAGAAAGCAAATATTCCTTCAGTAACATATCGATCTATTGGATTTTTAAAACAAACAAAACAATACTAGTTATAAAAATAACAGCTTGTTTTGATTACCAGCAACCCACCTAGCAGCAAGTTAGTTCCTAAAACCTGCATCTAGATTTTATTAATAGTATTAAATTTATTATGAGTTACATTTTAAAAAGATAAATAGCATTAAATGCAGTACTTATCCTTATTGTAATACAGATACCAAGCAGCATTTCTAGTGCTTGTCATTGACTGTCATTACAGTGACAAGTTAATATAGCCATGATCAGGTTTTTCTCCCCAGAGCTCTTCCTCTCATCTGTTACGCTCGCTATATAGAATTTTTAACATGATTGTTTTCTTTAAACCTTTCCCTACTTCCTGGTATGGATCTCAGCTTTCCTGATTTTTCTTCCTCCAATTTGTTCCTACTGTGTTTTTACTCAATGATGCCACAAACCAAACACACTGCCAGCTTCCACCTTGGATCTTTTTCTCCACCTTTTCAATTGTGAACTTTAAAAGCTGTAAGCACAGTTCATGTTCTGTATTGCCAGTATCCGTTTCGATCAACAAAATCTACCTCAGATTTTAAAAACTAAATACAAAAACCCAATCTGGCAACATTTTGTTACAGGATCCATGCAACTCTGCACCATCCCAATGATGATGAGCTTAGACAAACAGAAAATTCCAGAGTTATGGACAAATCAACTACCTCTTTCACAAGGTGGTTCACAGACTGCTGGCCACCTCCTGACCCCCACACGTTGTCTATGCGCTTTCCACCCTTGGTCATGCTCAGCAACACGGTAGCTCGGTCAAGTGCAGCTCTAGAAAGCAAAATTTGGACTTCAGGAAGCTACAAACTGAAAAGAAAATGTGTAATACCTGTATTTTCCCACTTCCATGTTTTTTAGACACAGTGCTCATGCTAAAGTCACAGGGACCAGATCTCCGGGAAGACTTCACCAGTACTAACTTAATGCAGACATCTTGATCAAGAACTCAGCAGTATTGGTCCCAAAGTTCTCTTCCCACCCATTTTACACTTTTGGTTATACTGTGCTCAGGACAGATAATAGTCCTGCAGTGGTTACAAATCTCAGTTGTCAGTGCAGATCTGAAACATTTTTTTTTTTTTTTTATTACAGAACTTAACATTCTCTTATGCAGAGATAAACTGTATTTGGGCTCCTGCACATATGCAGTTTAACATGTGCATCTCAAACAAACAAGGCTTGAATTGTTTCTGAGCTAAAGAATGGTCTCTGCTGAATCATTATTTTCTGTTTTGTGAAATTTGGGTAATTTAGGTTAAAATACTACCTTGGAAAAAGCAAATACAAAAAAAAAAAAAAGCAAATATCTGCAAGAAAACAGGGTGAAGGAAGTTTGTCAGATCACTGAGAAAAAGAAGAAATAAATAATAGGGGTAAAAGAAAAATAGACCAAGCTGAGCACCATTCAACTAGAGAAGGAACAGTTGTGTCACACTGCTTAGACTAGGGCAACCAAGTAACAACTGCTATACACAGGAGCAGAAGGACCAAGCAGCAAAGACTGGCCAAGAAACAGCAACAACAGAAAAGCATCCCAGATGTGCACTTTCCACACTAAAATGATTAAAATTGCATGACATTTTTTATTTTTATTATTTTTACTGATGTTTTTCACACCTTGAACTCTCAAGTTAGGCAGCTAACTATAAACAAAGCAAACAGAACAGAATTTCACAACATATTTAAAGCAGTTGCCCTGATGCTATATTTATTCACTAGTCACATTAAAGCCTTTTCTAAGACAAAACCTTCTATAGTAATTTC